AATTGGTAAAATAATCCGAGGTGTGTTGCTCGTATTAGGCCCCACCTAATTCGTTGGAACGTTGACTTGTATGTATAAATGGTTTATTAGGAAAGCAAAAAGCACACTCCTTAGTACAGTATACGGGCGTATACTGTACAAAGGAGTGTGCGCCTCGTACAATATAGGCGAGAAAGTCAGAACGTAAAGAAAAACATGGTTTAATATAAACAGTGACGTAATATATGCAATGGTCTCACAGAGCGGCATGATAAGGTAGTGACTGTATGAAAATATATTTCCTGGAAAGGAAATACTTCTTTTATATAATCACGCAGTAGTACACTGACGCTGCAGTATCTCTGTCCATTTCAGGTCCCGTGATCTAACAGCTCGTAATTTGCGTATTTATTTACGTGATCGTTCCCAGCATACTCCTTATAATTTGCGATGTAACGCGCGTACGGTAATTGAGTCTGTAGATAAAGATTTTTTCCTACTTGCCTCCAGAGGATGGAATAATTTATTAAAAAAACACTTCTGAGTATTGTAATGTTACAATATTCCAAATGAGATCGAAATTGAATGTGGAGGTTCTCGGCAATCGAAGTGAACTTATATTTTCAAAGTTATTGATGTTCCAACTAGGAAACCCGAGATTTTATTTATACGCTTAAAGGCAAATTTTCCACAGTTTAATTACTACTCTCATAGGAGTCCATATGCTTCATCCTTTCTATATGCATGTGGCGGTGAATCGGAGATAATTGATCATGGTTGCCTTCGTTGTTCGTTGTACAACCAACATCGAAAAGGTCTTTTTCAAAAGCTAAGCCTCAAAAAACTAAAAACGAATATTGTTTTGCTAAATGAGCCTGATATTGATACAAATACACAAGCGTTGGTACTTCCAGCTGTAGTTCCTGTTATTGAAAAAATAAAACGCTTTTAGTGAGCACTTTCTTTTATTCCGGTACCTTGCATCGTACCATCGAATATGTTGCGGACAGAATTAGAATTCGGTCAAATTCCGAATTTGTCCGGACAGAATTGGAATTCTAACTTCGTCCGGACAAAATTAGAATTTTCCTGTGTAAAAGAGATTACAGCTGATAAAGGTAAAAGGTTGGTGTTCTCCGTTAAAATCTGAATTTCTCCATAAAGTTCCATGTTCTCCACAATCTCTCCAAAATACACAATCTAAACAGTATAAAGATTTTAAAGTGTCTTTTATAGTTGTTATACCGTATAACATGAATGAATGAATTCATTCTAGCCGTATAAGTTATACGGCTAGAGGAAAGGAGAAAAGCTGTTAAGAGCCAGATATGACTATTCTATTGAAATAGAAAGAAGAGTAAGGGGGTAGTACAACAAAACATGAAAACAAGTTATCAGGAACAAAGGTAAACTGAATAACTGGAGAATAAAAGTAGAGAATGTTCTAGTTATAGCCGGCTATGTCAACTAACAGTATATATACAGATGTATCATCCTTACACTATCATGTTACTTGTTCCATATTGAAAAAAATGACAGCATCGGGTGCAACAACAATTCAAGTAAATAACGGTGAGACGCTTTTTTATGAAGAAGTAGAGAAGTATATTAATTCATTAAGTGAAAATTTTCAGAAAAAAAGTGTAATTAAAGAAAAAGTATATGACGATATTGTTAAATGTTTATTATTACCGAAAGGTGAGCCATCAGACTTGTATTCTTCAAAATTTATTTATTGGATAAAACATAATTTCATTTTGATGAAAATTGTCGGTATTGATATTGCTTGTTGCGTTAAATCTAAAAAGCCAATTTGTATTTATGAAGCATTTTATAACGTAATAAGTGAAGGACATGTTGCTGTTTCACGTGGAGGTCGTCATAAAACAGTTTCTGAACTTAATTCTCATTATTCATGGATACCACGATTTTGTGTTGAAATATTTTTAAAACAATGTATACCGTGTCAAACAAGAAAGCCGATTAAACAACATATCGTTTCAAAACCAATAATATCATTAGGTGTGATGACAAGGCTACAAATTGATCTGATTGACATGAGAACCAGACCAGACACAATAGTTCCCGATATCGTTTATAATTGGATTTTAAACTGTATCGACCATTTCAGTAAATTTTCTTGGGCATTTCCGTTGAAAAATAAATGTGCTAATGATGTTGCAATGAAATTACGTGAGTTGTTTTTTGTTTTTGGACTACCACGATTGCTTCACAGTGATAACGGACGTGAGTTTGTTGCTAATGTGATAATTGAATTGAAGAAATTGTTTCCAGATTTGGTTTTTGTCAGAGGTCGACCACGTCATCCACAAAGTCAAGGATGTATTGAAAGGGCCAATGGAGTTTTATGTGATGCACTCGGAAAATGGATGTCAAAAACGTGTATGGTATCAATACAAGAATATCAAGTGTTACCAAAACAACTCCATCTCAAGTAATGTTTGGACAACCACCTCGTTCAGATTCAGATGTCTGGAAACTGGTTGGACAAAATGGAATTGATGATGAAGAAGATTTACCAACACCAGTAGCTGAATCAGATAACGAGATAGTGGATAATAAAAAAGATGATACAATTAATTCTGCTAATGTTATTGATAGTGATGTGGTTAAAATTATTGAAAAATTGTCTGATGATGTTGTTTCTGTCGATTTTACAATTACAAATACTGTTGATCCAAATGCGCCATCTAATTTAAATAAGAACAATTTACGTGATTTAATTGAGGAAGTTGAATTAATGTTAAACGGTTCTGATACCGATCATCATGCTTCTTCATCTAACAGTCGTATACAG